GAATACTTTCTGAATGCACCATAAATAAATGATTTTTTTTATCAGAAATAACATTTAATCCCCCTTTTCTACACTTCTGAACACAGACAGGGTATGTCTAGTTTAATGAAGAGAAGGACGAAGGGGGACATGATAGCAGTGTTCCAATATCTCAGGGGCCGCCACAAAGAAGAGGGAGGCAAGCTATTCTCCAAAGCGCCTGAAGGCAGGACAAGAAGCAACGGGTGGAAACTAACCAAGGAGAGAAGCAACCTAGAACTAAGGAGAAACTTCCTGAAAGCTAGAACAACTAACCAGTGGAACAACCTGCCTCCAGAAGCGGTGAATGCTCCAACACTGGAAGTTTTTAAGAAGAGACTGGACAGCCATTTGTCTGAAATGGTATAGGGTTTCCTGCCTGAGCAGGGGGTTGGACTAGATGGCCTCCAAGCCCTTCCAACTTTATTATTATTATTATTATTATTAGATAAATGATGTTTTTTAATCAGAAATAACATTTAAGCCCCTTCCCTACGTTTCTGAGCACAAACAGTTGTTCTTACCCAGAGAAGCCAGATTCCTGGAATTCTCTAGCATGACTTCTCCGTGGAGCGCTTTTTGGTCAGCATCCAGTTGAGACCACTCCTCCTTAGAGAAATGCACAGCCACTTCCTCAAAAGACACAACATCCTGAACAAGGAAACAAGTTTCCCTATTAACAGTTAATCCCAAGAATAACGTGATAATATTCTTCCACCAATTCTAGGAAAGAGATCCAGTGAACAAAATGGGCATCTTCTGCAGAATTCAGAATAAGACCTCACTGCTTTTGACTGACGGCACAACTAATTCACCCTTAATCAAGCTGGAACTATTTGGAATGCCTTTCGGTGTAACCAACTAAAATAGTTTTCTTAGTCAATTGGTATTTGGGTCTTACCAGTGATTCTAATTCTTCCTAGGGTGGGCAGACCAGAGCAAAATGCTGGCAAAACCCACCTGATATTTTTGCCAGTGGCTTCCTTTATCCACTGAGGGACAAATGAATCCCAATTCTACACCTTCATGAAGGTGTTAGAAAAGCTTGTAATAGCACTGCATATGTCTATGGAGATTCTCAATCACCAGGTCACGATTATCTCAAAGATGTTTTTCAAAAGGCAAACATGGATATATTTTTTTGTAATGGTGTGTGAGAATGACCCTGGGAGACAGAAGGAAGAGACCCAATGCTGACAACAGTCTGGTCAATGAAATCTGATGGCAAAGCAGGAGGGGTGGAGAAAGCGTCTCTCACAGGATCCCCTCAGAAGGGAGAAGGTAGGCTGAGGTGAATGTTCAATGAACCTTATGTCAAATTTCTATTGCTTAAAAACAGAAAATATATACACTGAACTCTAGAAGAAAATTAAATCTAGCCTAAATTCATGGACTTTTTCCAATGTTTTTATCCTTACCTGAAGTAGAGGTTCAGCCAATCCTTTAGCTCCACCACAAAGAGGAGGTGACTCTAAAAATCCCAAAGACAGCTTTGTACTCTCTGTGAGAAAGAGAAAAATAGTGGAAGCAGATTTGTTAAAAAGAGAGAGATTCCAATAAAGAGGAGCAAAACAATCAAATAAACGTTGAAATCTCACATCACACAAAAAGAGCTTTTGTAACCTGGCATAGTGTCTTCATTTTGATATTTGTATACGGTCTCCCTGAACAGCAGCTCTTGAGAAGATTTGAATGAATCTTTTCTCCCCTTGGGATACTTGGTCACAGCTTCCGAGGATTTCTGGACATGATGTGATACAAAAAACAAAGGAAGACCACAGAGATAGAAATAAATTAACGTAATGCACTTTCAAACTAACAGACCCACAATGTCCATTGCTGAAACTCGAAGCAGAATGGAAAAATTGCCTCAAATACATCCTCTGGAAGAATAGAACAAATGGCCTTAGGAGTTCATAATCTCAGAAAATTCTGCCAGAGAGGAATTGACAAATTCAGAGAGATCCTCTTTAGAGTTGCCATGATTACATTCTCACACCTGCAACTCTTCTTGCATCTTTTCCTCCTCCTGGGTCAGCAGGAAGCCTTCGGCCAGGGCCACCGCCTGGGAGCTGGTCTCTGCTCCACACTCGCGCACCCATTTCTCCATCTCTGAGGGAAGGACAGCCAGGAATTGCTCCAGGAGCACCAGGTCCAGCATCTGGGCCTTTGTGTGTCTTTCTGGTTGCAGCCACTGATGACAAAGGTAGTGAAGCTGAGTGCAAACATCTCGGGGACCCCACCCCTTCTGGAACTGCACTTCTGTGAAGTGACACCATTGGACCTTTGAATTGTTGGCTTCCTCTTCTTGGCTGTTCAGGCCAGGAATTGCCCCATTCTTCCCACAGCTCCAAGGCTGAGTAGCTGCAGGGCCTTTTCTAACTTCTGAATCTGCTGGGCGTTGTCCTTCCATCTTCTCTCTAACCAGTTCCAAAATGGACTCGTGGATCTTTACGGGTCTTTTTGTCCACAAGAAGTCTGGCCAAATTTTCCAAGACCGTTCAGCTCTCTTCCCAGACAAGATAGGTGAGATTCCAGAGGAACCAGAAAAGATTTCCAGCTTACATACCTGAAATGGAAAACAAATAACTCAGGGTGTTTATTAGGACGATTAATTGAACTACTGAGCATCTTTATCAAAAAAAGGAAAAAAAGGAAAGAGAAAGGAAAAATTAAAGTAAGAAATTCAGATGAACCCACCAATATCTGAGAAGGGATGGGGGGGGGGAATCTGATTCGGTAGCTTGATCTCTCTAGATACAGGGAGAATTACACAGAACCCTTCCTGATCAATGTCTATCAAAATATTGGAAAAATACATTTAAATATGTTTTGGATTTCCAACCTCAGCCCAGGCCATATATGTGCCACGCTGGACCTCTGCCTGGCCAGCACCTATTTTAAATACAGCGAAGGTTTCTACAGACAAAAACACGGCTACGCCATGGGCTCACCTGTGTCCCACATTGTGGCCAATCCCTACATGGAAGAAATAGAAACCAAAGCCCTAAACTCCTTCACAGGAATTCTACCCACTACAGGTATGTGGATGATACTTGGGTCAAGATCAAAACACCGAAATCGGAAGCATTCACCAAACATATCAACTCGGTGGACAGATACATCAAATTCACATGTGAAGATGTGAAGGAAACTAGTCTAGCCTTCCTGTACTACGCAGTATACATTAAGGAAGACAGAAGCCTTAATATTGAAATTTACAGAAACCCACACACACACAGATCAATATTTATATTTTGATTATAGTTTGATACCCACTGGAGTACAAAATGGGAGTCATCAGAACCTTACACCACCGAGCTGAAGTTCTGCCTACCAGCAAAGATGGAAAAGAAAAAGAACTAAAACACATCAAGGAAGCCCTCAGAATTTATGGCTATTCCAAATGGTTCTTCATCAAATCTCATGGTCTCCATAACAGACAATGAAGAAAACAATAAATGAAGCAATGTTGTCATTCCATACATTGCAGGAATATCAGAAAAATTCATGAGGCTCTTCAGCCAGCACAACATACATGCACACCCAAGAATACTGTACACTAAGGCAGAAGCTTGTCCACCCCAAGGATAAAACAGCCAGACACAAACTGAGCAACGTGGTATATGCAGTGAGCCTTGTTCAGATCTGTACATTGGGGAAACAAAACCACCACTTTGCTTCTTGGAGGAGAAGCAAAATGTCTTCAAAGAAAAGAGGAAAGTCCAATTGCACCTGAAAAAATCACCTTTGGGACAACCTTGACCTGGATGACTGAGACTCTCCATAGACTTTTGGATTTCTACTTCCCAGTTTTTATTAAAATTTAATTTTTATCTCTTCTCAATTGTTTTTATACATTATTCTAGCCAATTATACATAATGCTCCTTTTCACTATTTCCCCCACAACAGCCCTGTGAAGTAGATTGGGCCGAGCGTTGGGATGAGCTCAAGGCTTTCATGCCAGAACTAGATTAGCTAGAAGTTGAATCTCCTGGTTTCACGCCCTAGTGCTTTCATCCCTGAACCAAAAGGCTCTCTATGGCTAATTATAATTTAATTTAATATAATTTAATAGACAGTTTAGTATCATTTCTACGGCAGCATAGAAAGTTAAGAACAACTATTTGCACAATCCAAACACACAATAAACACCCACCCTGGTTGGTACCTTTTTACTCTCCTACCATCGGGTAGGAGATACAGAAACATAGCCAGCTGTACCAACAGGCTGAAGAACAGCTTTTATCCATGGGCCGTCAGGCTTCTGATTGGGACATAACTTTATTAACTTTACGCATGACAGACTCGTGATGTGCAATTAGTTCACAGGGTGAAATAAGTTGGGGGTTTGTAGACACCGTGAGTTTGTGGTGGTGGGGGCACAAAGGGAGGCTCAGCCAATTTCACTGTATACATGTTATGTTGTTGTTAGTTGCGAAGTCGTGTCCGACCCATTGCGACCCCATGGACAACGTTCCTCCAGGCCTTCCTGTCCTCTACCATCTTCTGGAGTCCATTTAAGCTCATGCCTACTGCTTCAGGGACTCCATCCAGCCACCTCATTCTCTGTCGTCCCCTTCTTCTATTGCCCTCCATCTTTCCCAGCATTAGGCTCTTCTCCAGTGAGTCCTTCCTTCTCATTAGGTGGCCAAAGTACTTGAGTTTCAACTTCAGGATCTGGCCTTCTAAAGAGCAGTCAGGGTTGATCTCATCTAGGACTGACTGGTTTGAACTGGTTTGCAGTCCAAGGGACTGCAAACCAGTCAAGGGACTGGTTTGAAGTCCAAGGGACTCGCAGGAGTCTTCTCCAGCACCGTAGTTCAAAGGCCTCAATTCTTTCTCGCTCAGCCTTTCTTATGGTCCAACTTTCACAGCCATACATTGCAGCTGGGAAAACCATGGCCTTCACTATATGCATACATGTTATATTTTGATAATAAAGGGTTTATTATTATTATTATTATAAACGTCCCAGGTCACAAATAGCTATGGACATGAGGGGCTCTCTAAATCCATTTAGTAAGTAAATAAATCAACAATGGATTTCAACACCCAGGCTTTACAAAGGCCAAGTCTGACAAAAACACGAGCCTAATCGGACACATCCTGTGAATGATGCATTTTAGACTCAGGCGCATCTCCGTCTGGGGATAATGGGGAAAGGCGGGAAAGCAGGAAACCGAGTTCCAGTCCTTGCACACCTGGCACCCAACTCCTTCCACACGGAGTCCCAGCCTTGCGTGCAAAGCCAGCAGGAGGGACTTAAGAGATCCCTTCTGTCGGCCTGGGAAGCGGGAGGCGAGGGAAACCCCTTTCTGAAAACGGGGCCAAAAAAAAATTGCAAGAAATTGTCCAGGACAAGACTGACTTGGAAGCACAAACCTCTGTTTTGCAAAACCAACCTCTCTTCCCCTCCTCTCCCCCATGCAGAAGTTTTCCCATCGAAATGGGGGGGCAGGGGGTGTAAATGGCTGCCCCTTTTCTGCGACTCTGATTTTTTTTTTTTCCCCTAGGGCAGGGGGTCTTCAAACTTGGCCCTTTTTTTTTTACTTGTGGACTGGGAATTGAAGTCCACAAGTCATAAAAGGGCCAAGTTTGAAGACCCCCTGCCCTAAGCTTTGCTTTCTCCCCTGCCCGGCCCGCGCATGCACAAGAGCGGCAGGGGAACATGGGACCAATGGCTCCCCCCCCCACTCTTCCCACGATTCCAAGCCAGGTGAAGTTTTGCGGGTCTCCATGCTCGCCTCCAACGCGGGAAAAAAGCCCAATGAATCCCAAGTCACGTCTGGATACCGAACTGTGCAAGACTTCCCTGCAGCCTCTTGGCTCCCTAGATAGAAAGGCTCACCCCAAAGGCTGGCAGCGAGGCGGGGAAAGCAGACTCGGACGCTGTAGAAACGGCGGGCGCGCTTTCCAGCCTTTTCGGGAGTCTTTGACTTGCGAAAGAGGCAGAAGGCGCATGCTCGGTTATCTTGCAATGCGAGGGGAGGGGGGCGGGAGCTACCGCTCTCTTCCAACCGCTACCGAGGGAGCCCCCTGGTGGATGCTGTGCGCAATGCCCCGTTGAAGGAGAATACCAACAATTGCTCTTTTATGACTCGTGGACTTCAATTATGCTGACTCAGGAATTCTGGGAGTTGAAGTCCACGAGTCATAAAAGTTGCCTATCCTCGTAGGGGCATCTTATAGTAATAATAATAATAATAATAATAATAATAATAATAATAATAATAATAATAATAATAATAATAATAATAATAATAATAGTAAAGTTGGAAGGGACCTTGAAGGTCATCTAGTCCAACCCCCTGCTCAGGCAGGAAACCCTATACCAGTGGTTCTCAACCTGTGGGTCGGGACCCCATTTGGGGTCGATTGACCATTTCACGGGGGTCGCCAAGCAAGGCTGTCCGCCATTTTTTTTGTCTGCCATTTTTTTTGTCCACCATTTTTTTCCCATTTTCCGGTGGGTGCCTTACCTCCCTTGGGCTGGGCCAGCTGGTGGTCAGCCTGCTCCGTCTCTGCCGCTTGCCAGCTACGCCTCGGCCGGCGCAGGGGGCGGAACCACGCATGTGCGGCGCTCCCGGGCAGGGAAAGTCCTTGACTTACGACCGGTTGGGTAGTCCTTGACTTACAACCGGTTTAGTCCTCGACTTACGACCGGTTTAGTCCTCGACTTACGACCGGTTGGGGTCGCGGCATTAAAAAGGTTGAGAACCACTGCCCTATACCATTTCGGACAAATGGCTGTCCAGTCTCTTCTTAAAAACGTCCAGTGTTAGAGCATTCACCGCTTCTGGAGGCAGGTTGTTCCACTGGTTAATTGTTCTCACTGTCAGGAAGTTTCTCCTTAGTTCTAGATTGCTTCTCTCCTTGATTAGTTTCCACCCGTTGCTTCTTGTCCTGCCTCCAGGCGCTTTGGAAAATAGCTTGACTCCCTCTTCTTTATGGCAACCCCTGAGATATTGGAACACTGCTATCATGTCCCCCCTCGTCCTTCTCTTCATTAAACTAGACATACCCAATTCCAGCAGCCGTTCCCGATCTTGCCACACGGGTTCGAGTCCCGGCTGACGCATACATTGTTTCACCTTTTACCTTTCTAGGATCTGCAGGCAGTCAGACCACGTTTCATCCCAGTGGGAGAAAAAGAGCCCTGACTTCAAAAGGGAAGAAAAACCGTGAAAGCCAAAGGGAACCCTTGGCATCGGTTAGGAGTCTTCAGACTGAGGGAGGCTGGTGCCGTTGAGGGTACCCAGGTGGGATCTGAGACTTTAATCTTTAATCTCCGGATGTGCAGATAATTGAAGAATAATGCGAGATTCGTTTGATATTTTGGAATGTTTGAAATAATATAATGAAAAACAAGAATGATATTTCTAGATGCAGAGAGGCCTTGTCCTTTCACAGCTATTTTCCTAATCCTTGTAATGCTCTTCCGTATGTATCATACATGTCCCGTAATCCTAAAAAAATCTGTTCATGACACATCTAGGTTCTTTTTGAATGCTTGGCTAGATCAGGGGTAGGCAACCGTGGCTCTTTTATGACTCGTGGACTTCAACTCCCAGAATTCCTGAGCCGGCACGGCTCAGCTTGGAAACCTCTCCCTTTCCCCTCAGCATGGCTGGCTCGGGAATTCTGGGAGTTGAAGTCCACGAGTCATAAAAGAGCCAAGGTTGCCTACCCCTGGGCTAAATAGTCAGTTTTCTCTTGATGGTTACTGGCATCTGGACACAGCGGGAACAGATTTAAAAGTGAAGATATTTCCCCAGCACTAGAAACTTGTAAGGGTTTGTGGGAATCACCTTGAGGGACAAGGGAAATAGATGGTGCCAAAGGAATAATGTGATAAAATGTAGAAAAGCCTGCAGCTGCATAACAGGGAAAGAAAGAAACTAATTTGATCTACCAGGCTGTTGTTTATTTATCACCCACTTTGCATTTCAAGACAACTTTAAATGTGATCGCCGATGTGTACTTTCAGACTTGCACCATTCTATTATTATATTAGCCCAGTGGTGGCAAACCTATGTCACGCGTGCCAGAGGCGGCACTCAGAGTCCTCTCTGGGCAGATGCGCCATGCCCCGGAGATGGCAACCGTCCCTCTTTAACCAGCTGCCCACTAACTCATCGAGGTCCCATGTGGCCGGATGCATCCCAGCATGGCTGGTTTCCCTCCCCCAGTCCCATCCCTCCTGCCTCGCATGCTCTCCTTTTCCCGGGCACGACCCACTGCATAGCCTCCTCAGCGGCCGTCCAGCTCAGAGGTGGCTTCTCTGAACCACTGGCGGTGGGCTGTGGAGCCCCAGAGTGTGCCGGTTGAGGGGCCGGCAAGCTGTGGCTGCTGATGGACACTGTCGGACCCCATGCGCTCACTGGCCTCTGTGTGCGGGGGCCAATGGTGTCAGGGAGCAGCCGCCCCGGCCCTTGCCTTGCCCTGCAACAATGGCACCCCCCACCCTGCCTCGCCTCACCTCGCAGGACGAGCCTCCTGCCCACCACCCCACCTGCCAGAGACCCCCTGGATCTCCCCCAACCCTGCCTGGCCCCCACAGGCGTCTCTCCCCACGAGCAACATCAAGGTGACCACGCTCACCTTGGCCACACCCACCCAGTCTGCCATGACCACCACAGCCACGCTCACCCAGTAGGCCATGCCCACCAGGCACCCGGCAATAAATAAGTGGGTTTTGGGTTGCAATTTGGGCACTCGGCCTCTAAAAGGTTCGCCATCACTGTATTAGCCTATCCGGCCATGTTTCCTAACTCTTATTACCTTGCAGGACCGATAGACCATTGTTGACTTTTGTGTAAATGATTTCAAGTTGCCGTGAGATTCCAAAAGCCCCGTGTAGGCCCCCTCCACAAATAACCCAATGTTTGTAATTGATAATCACCCCAAAGTTCATGTAACTGGAAAGAAATCATACCAACTGTAAGTCATTAATTTAATCTAAGGCTACAGGTACATGTACCCAAAAAAAATCTATTTTAGCTTCTAGCTGCGACAGGAAAACAGAACTTGGCACCTTCGCCGGAGAAAAAGCTTGCCGTGTACATTTATAGGAATTTTCACCATTGTAGCTCCTTTTCTTCCTCTTGAGTTTTCTTCCTATTAAATAACAGGCTGGACATATCCCTGAAAGGGCAATTAATGCCCTTTATCTCCAATGACACTCGCTTTTTAGTTCTAACCTCCCACTTAGCAAAAAAAAAAACCAAGCAGGATTTAGGATCCACCTCATTCTAGTTTGGACTAGAAAGGCCATTTATCCATGCGTATCAAAGGTCCAGAATTTTATTTTATACTCAAGTGGTCCCTCCATGAGATTTGAGATGACTACAGGTAGTCTTTGACTGATAACAATTCACTTTGTGACTGTTCAAAGCTACACCACTGAAAAAAGGGACGTTACTGTTTTTCACACTTACAACCGTTGCAGCGTCCCAATGGTCACCTGGCCAAATTTCAGGTATTGGGCAACTAATAATAATAATAATAATGATAAAGTTGGAAGGGACCTTGGAGGTCATCTAGTCCAACCCCCTGCTCAGCCAGGAAACCTTATACCATTTCGGACAAATGGCTGTCCAGTTTCTTCTTAAAAAGGGTTGCAGTGTCCCTGGGTCATATAATCTTCTTTTGTGACCTTTTGACAGGCGAAGACAACAGGAAGCGGACTTGACAATTAACTAACCTGACACTTGAAGTGATTCGCTTAACAAGCGCGGCAAGTATAAGTTGTCAAAAGGGTCAAAATTTACTCAATAACCGTCTTGCTTAGCCACAGAAATTTTGGGCTGAATTGCGGTCATAAACCGAGGATTACCCATATTTCTACTGAAGCTCTTTCCATACTTCCGCTGCTGATATGGCTTCTCCCGCGTGTGGATCCTTCTATGGCAAGTGAGGGCATTGCTCCTTGCAAAACTCTTTCCACACTCCAGGCACTGATATGGTTTCTCCCCTGTGTGGATCCTTTTGTGGGAAGTGAGGTCACAAATCCACCTAAAGCCTTCTCCGCATTCCACACATGGATATCGCTTCTCCGTTGTATGGGTCCTCTTGTGGGAATTAAGACTACTGCTAAAACTAAAGCTCTTGCCACACTCCGTGCACTGATATGGCTTCTCCCCTGTGTGGATCCTTTTATGGGAAGTGAGATCACAGTTCCACCTAAAGCCCTCACCACAGTCCACACACCGATACGGCTTCTCTCCTGTGTGGATCCTCTTGTGGGAATTAAGGTAACTGCTGTGAATAAAGGTCTTCCCACACTCCATGCATTTATACGGTTTCTCTCCTGTGTGGATCCTCTTGTGGGAAGTAAGATTGCTGCTACAACTAAAGGCCTTTCCACACTCCGTGCATTGATATGGTCGTTCTCCCGTGTGGTTCCTTTCATGACTTCTAAGAGACTGATTATTACAAAAGGTCTTTCCGCACTCCCCGCAGATAAATCGTTTCGGTGCCGAATGTGTCTTTGTGTGGGAAATGAGATGATCGGCTTGATTAAAGCTCTTTCCACACTCCGGGCATTTGTATGGTTTGTCTCCCGTATCGATGCTTGTACGGTTAGGAAGCCAGCTGACCCGAGGAAAGACATTTTTAATTCCACTTTGCGATCGGTTTGTTTCGTCACCCTTTGGTTGCACCTGATCTGCAAAGTTCCCTCTTCCCTCTTCCGGATGGATCGCTTCACATTCCTCCTTGCAATTCTTATCCTCTGGTCCATTAAAGCCTTGAAAAAGAAAAATGAAAATGGTAGCGAGAGCAGGGGACCACAATCAAACCTTTTCCTCTGAAATTTAGCCAGAGAATACCATTACATTTTGCCTGCTTTGCTGGCAAATATAAAGATGCCAAACGAAGATGTTATCAAATACTCATTTCCAAGGGGCTCCTACGAATCCTTTTGTATCAGAGTTGGATGGCATCACAACAAACCTAAGACAAATCCTTAATCTAACCTTTGAGCACCACTGTGTGTCAACCCGTTGATGCCCCAAGACAGTGATGGAGAACCTTTTAGAGACCGAGTGCCCAAACCGCAACCCAAAACCCACTTATTTATCGCAAAGTGCCAGGGCCACATCAGCATTGTGGTGCCCTCAGGGGGGTGGGGTGGGCGTGGCCCACTGGGTAGGCGTGGCCACCTTGATGTTGCTCGGGGGGGGACGCCTGTGGGAGCTGGGCAGGAATGGGGGAGATCCAGGGGGTCTCTGGGGGGGCAGCGGGCAGGTGGCTCGTCCTGTGGGGTGAGGCAGGGGGTAGGGCGGAAGTGCCATTGCTGCAGGACAAGGCAAGGCGGGGGGGCTGCTGCCTGACACCATCAGCCCCTGCACACAGACACCAGCGAGCGCATGGGGGCGTGGTCTACCACCTCTACTCGAACTTGCCAGCCAGCTGCTTCGCCTCCTTTGTGTTGGGTGGGGCTGCCGCTCCAGGCACCAGCAGGGGCCTAATGGACCTGTGCGAGCTGGTGGCGGTGGCGGCAGGTGTGCCCACAGAGAGGGCTCTGAGTGCCACCTCTGGCACGCGTGCCATAGGTTCGCCATCACTGCCCCAGGACAATTCCATGGTGCCAGAAAACCCCGAGTGCATCAGATATTGTATCATGATGGGCAGCAACACACCCCCAGTTCCCCAGCTTCAGTGAAAAGTCTCATCTCCACTTGTCTGCAGAGCAGAACCTCTGAAAGTCAATAAACTTTCTGGAAGGCAATAGGTTTCCCCACCCTCAACCTGGAATGATGCCAAACACTGTACACGAGTGAACCCATTCCTGAGAAAGGAGCATCCCTCTCGGGGAGGGCACATCTGGGTCTTGAACATGCATGCCAGTCTGGTACTTCATCCACCTTCAGATCATGCCTGCGGACACTCCTACTGTTTACCAAGCTGGTATTCAATAACATCCGGTCTGAAATAGCAGCTCAATGGTTAGGCTCAATATTAAGCCCTGGAAAGCAGGGCCTTGCTCAAGAGAGGCCACACTATCCCTACATGCAGCCTGTCCCTCAGATTCCTGGTAATATCTTCTATGGGTATTTTCTATGTTATGAGCAGAAAGTGTTTTGAAAGAAACCCACTTCCTTTATGTAAAAGGGAACCTGTGCAGTTTTCCAGTTTTTCTTTCAATAAATCTCCTTCTTCCATAGAGAGCTATTTGGTCCAATGGTTAAAGCATTGAGGCTAGAAACTAGGTGACTGTGAGAACTACTTCTGCAATAATAATAATAATAATAATAATAATAATAATAATAATAATAATAATAATAACAACAACAACAACAACAAATAACAACAATAGTAATAGTAATAATAATAGTAATAATAATAATAGTAATAATAATAATAGTAATAGTAATAATAATAATAGTAATAATAATAGTAATAAAGTTGGAAGGGACCTTGGAGGTCATCTAGTCCAATCCCCTGTTCAGGCAGGTAACCCTGCACCATTTCGGACAAATGGCTGTCCAGTCTCTTCTTAAAAACTTCCAGTGTTGGAGCATTCACCACTTCTGGAGGCAGGTTGTTCCACTGGTTATTTGTTCTAACTGTCAGGAAGTTTCTCCTTAGTTCTAGGTTGCTTCTCTCCTTGATTAGTTTCCATTCGTTGCTTCTCGTCCTGCCTTTAGGCGCTTTGGAGAATAGCTTGACTCCCTCTTCTTTGGGGCAGCCCCTGAGATATTGGAACACTGCTATCCTGTCCCCCCTCCCCCGTCCTTCTCTTCGTTAAACTAGACATACCCAATTCCAGCAGCCGTTCCTTATATGTTTTAGCCTCCAGTCCCCTAATCATCTTTGTTGCTCTTCTCTGTATTCTTTCTAGAGTCTTAAGCATGAATTATGGCTGGGTGACTTTTGGCCTATCTCCCTCAGTCCAACCAACCCATGTTTACAGGGTTGTAGTTGTGGGAAAACAGCAGAGGAAGGAGTATTAAATATGTCTGCTGTCTTGAATTGTTTACAAAAAATAATAAAGACAGGAAAGGAATAACTGCTATTTTTCTTTTCAGAAATAACATTTAAACCCATATCCCATGCCTTCTCTATGTTTCTAAGCAGAAATAGGGATTCTTACCCAGAGAAGCCAGATTCCTGGAATTCTCCAGCATGACTTCTCCATGGAGCGCTTTTTGGCCAGGATCCAGCTGGGACCACTCTTCCTCAGAGAAGTACACAGCCACTTCCTCCAAAGACACAACATCCTGAACAAGGAAAGAAGTTTCCCAATTAACAGATAACCCCAAGAACAGTTTGACAGTTTTCTTTCATCAATTCAAGCAGAGAGAGAGAGAGAGATCCTATGAACAAAATGGGCATCTTTTGCAGAATTCAGTAAGAGAACTTACAATTTTTGGCTCATGGCACAACTGAAGCACATCTGATCAAGTTGGATGGACTCAGTTAGATATAATATAGAATTAGAAGATTAGCAAAAGTTATGGGAAAGAAATGTTAAATTAATTAAAGCAGTGCCATATAAAGAAAACTTGTATAAAATGTTTTACAGATGGCATATGACACCAGTGAGATTAGCGAAAATGTTTAAAAATACTTCAAACAACTGTTGGAAATGTAAACAGAGACCAGGTACTTATTATCATATCTGGTGGACATGGCCCAAAGCAAAAAGATTTTCGGTTAAAATACATTTAGAGCTGGAGAAAATGACTAAAAAACAAATAGACTTTAAGCCAGAATTATTTTTGTTAGGAATAAGAGGAGCTAATTATGAGAAAGATTGCAGATATCTAATACTACACATATTAACGGCAGCAAGAATTGTATTTGCTCAACATTGGAAAAATGAAAATTTACCAACTGAAGAAGTACCAATCAAGAAAATTCTAGAGTGTGCAGAAATGGATAGATTGACTTTAAAGAGAAAAGAGAAAGAAGACTCAGTGTATTTTAGAACATGGGATAATTTTTATTAATGGCTAGAAAAAAGAGTCAGAGAGAAAGGAATGTGATATGTAATTTTGAATATATATTAGTAAGAAGAAGGCTATTGAGTGATGAATTAACATGTTGTTTATGATAATTAACTATATCTATTATTGTTAGTTAAACACATGTACCAGACATTATGCTGTTTGCTAAATATTGAAAATGTTATTTAGAAAAACCCCAACCCCAACCCTAACCCAAATCCCAACCCTAATCCCGACCCCACCTTATCCCTAACCCTATAAAAACTAATAAAATCTATACAAAAATAAAATAAAAGTTGGAAGGACTCAGAATGCCTTTCATGAAGCCCATTAAAATAGCTCTCTTGGTCAATTGGTCTTAAACTACTACTTATCAATGGCTCCAATTCTTCCTAGAGTAGGCAGAAGGAAACACAGGGATTACCCATCTGACTTTTTTTTGCCAGTGGTTTATTTATCAACCGAGGGAACAAACTCTTCCCCCCCCCCAAAATCCACACCTTTATGAAGATGTTGGGGAAGATTGTAATGGTAGTGAGAATGACTCTGGGAATTTTCAACGACCTGATCCAAAATTTGAGTTGCTTAGAAAAAGCAATATTATACACTGAACTCCAAAACAAAATAAAACCCAAGATTCATGGATATTGATCAATGTTTCTCCCCCTACCTGTGATAGAGGTTCAAGCACTCTTTCAGCTCCACCAGAAAGAGGAGGCGATTCTAAAAAAACCAAGGACAGCTTTCTATTCTCTGTGAGACAGAAAATGGTGGAAGCATATTTGTTAAATAGAGAGATTACAATCAAGGGGAGCAAAAGAATCGTCTGGATGTCCAGACCCCACATCGCACGTAAGGAGCTTCTGTTACCTGGCAGGGTGTCCTGACTTTGATCTTTCTGGAAGCTCTTCCTGAACTGCAGCTCTTGAGAGAGTTTGGGTGACTCTTTCCTCTCCTTGGGATAACCAGACACATCTTTCGAGGACTTCTGGAGGTGACGTCCCAGGAGAAGCAAGGAAAGAGGGAAAGAAACGAATTATCATACCGCACTCTCAACCTAGCAGACCCTCAACGTCCATCGCTGCAGCTGGAAAGCAAGAACAGAAGAATTGCCCCAAATTCATCCTCTGGAAAAAGAATGGAACAACTGACTTAAGGAGATCATAATCCCAGAAAACTCTGGCCAGAGAGGAATTGACAAATTCAGAGAGATCCTCTTTAGAGGTGCCACGATTACATTCTCACACCTGCAAGTCTTCTTGCATCTTTTCCAACTCCTGGGTCAGCAGGAAGCCTTCAGCCAGGGCCACTGCCTGGGAACTGGTCTCCGCTCCACAATCCCGCACCCATTTCTCCACTGCTGGGGGAAGGACAGCCAGGAACTGCTCCAGGAGCACCAGGTCCAGCATCTGAGCCTTTGTGTGTCTTTCTGGCTGCAGCCACTGATGGCAAAGACGGTGAAGCTGAGTGCAAATATCTCGGGGACCCCTCCCCTCCTG